ACGTCAAGTCCACGTCAACATCCATAGCGGAATTTAACATGCACGCGACTCACATGTGATTGAGTGTGTATTAAAATATTAAATATCTAAAAAAAAAAAAATCAAAGGAGTAAATAAGGATTTGACTTTGTATATATATATATATAGTTATATATATGTGTGTTTGTGTGTATGTACAGTAACTTTCAGGGGTAATGGCTGAGCCGAATGTGTAAGGACATGGGTCGATAAGGGGTAAATCGCGCCGTCATGCATCCCGGCCGGCCATCAACAGCAATAGCTTGACTTGGCCTTTCTTTGAGAACATATGCAGGAGTTGAGCTCGCACAATTTCCCACGCCTCCTGCGCTCACTTCCCAGTTCTGGTAATTAAGTCTATTATATATATATATATATGTCACATGCAATATTTGTTTGACTATTATATGCCCTTAAATTAATGAAAGTATTTCCATTTTCCATTGTCATTATATGCGCATGCTTGTCAATATTGAAAACCTTAATTCAGGAGGGGAAAAAAAAAAGGAAAAATGAAAAATGAAGCAAAATCTTGATTTGGGCTGTTTTATGGGCAACCCAACAACATTAGTGTGAGCCTGTGAGGCAAGGAGAAAGCCCATTTTTCAGGTAAAGTGGGTATAAAGCCCATCTGAGTTTTCTTTTTTCTCCTGCTTGGCCCATAATTAATAGATTTTGCAGAAAAAGGCCAAAAATAGAGGTCCCACCGAGATTTGAACTCGGGTTACTGGATTCAGAGTCCAATGTCCTGACCACTAGACCATGGGACCTTATTTGATAGGGGTTGACCTATAATTTTACTTAATTACTTTTGGAAAGTTTATGTTTGTTTTCACTGTTACAATTTGTTATAATATGGCACTTGGGACTGTTCCTTTGTCCTCCTTTTGGGCAAATTGGATTCAAAGGACGGAGGGAGGACTGCTTGTGAATTTGTAGTGGTTAAAATTTTATTTTAGTCCCTCTATTCTAATAAAAAGTTTTTGTTAATCCCTTTACTTAAGAAAACTTTTTTTAATTCCTAAAATTTATTATCTAACATTCTAACCCCTTTAGTCTTTTTTGTTATCTTTTTGCACATATTAAATAATAAAAATTTCAGACTAGAAAGACTAAAAATGAGTTTGCTATAAACTAAAGTGATAAAAAAAATGCTTTTTTTAGTTCATTTTTCGTTCCTTTGTTTTGAAAATTTTTATTATTTAACGTGTCATGTGTGTAAATAGATAATAAATGAATTAAAAATTAACTAAATGATAAATTTTATAAACTAAAAATGAACTTTTTTTAAATAAAGGGATTAACACAAGACCTTTTATTAAAATAGACAGGCTAAAATAAGATTTCAATCACTCGTAATAATCACTTGTAATCTAAGTATGATATGTCCATTTTCTTATCCTCTCTTTTCTTTTCTTTCTTCATTTCTTGCCATGTCTACCTGTTTGTACTTGCATCTCATTTTCATTGAAGGAGGGGTGGTCTAAATCCAAAGGAATGAATTTTGGTTTGATTCATGAATCACTCTCCTAAAAGCAGTATATAGATATATACATCATTTTATTTTATCTTAAAAAGGATAATTAATCAAACACCTTTCTCATCCTGAAAATAATACTACCTATGGTTGGAAGGTCGAATCATAAAGGATCGAACATTATTAATGAAGTTCCAAACAATTGGAAACAATTAATATGAACATATCATAATTGCAATTTCTACTTGTTTGATTAGTTGGTGGCAAACATGATCTTTCACATCTAGATTTAGCATTGAGAGCCACAAAAAATCCCACCCATATAAAATTCATCTATAAAACAAACATGCATAAAATTCAAATAATGTAGTGTACATTAATTTACTACTTATTCAAAAAGAAAAAAAATCATAATAGAGTACATAAATAAAAATTCTAATAGAGTACATAAATAAAAATTCAACTTAATTATCAAACAAAAATGTAGCTGTAGCAACAGCACATGATTCAGAAAATGACAAAAAAAAAAGGCATATAAATTACTCCAATATTTTTGAATTAAAAAAATTAACATAAAAAAAATAAAATAAAGCAAATCACCTCCAAGTATGGCCCAGGGATTTACATGACTTACACGTTTAGTGGAAAAAAAGAAGAAGAAGCTAAATCTAGGTTCTTTTTAATTTGTATTATAGTATGTTTAAGGATGCTTTTTTACCATAAATATATATAAATAAATTTTTATATGTACATTTAAGATCACTTTTTTATAAATAAAAAAAGTTTAATAGTATATATTAAGATTGTAATAAATATATATTTTCATTATAAATTTGTATTAAAAAATTAATTTTAATTTATTTATTATTTAATTAATTCATTCACTTATTATTAACATTAAAATTAATATCAATTTTTATATTTTTTATTTATTTATAACAAAAAATGCCTTTAAGACATATTAAAAAATTTACAAAAAAATATAAAATTTTATATTAATTTTAGTATTATTGAAAAGTAAATTAATTTAATTAAATTTTATTAAATTAAAAATAAATTTATATTTTTTAATATAAATTAATAATAAAAATATATATTTATTATATGCTAAAGGACATATTATTTATATAAAAAAAGACCTCTTTTTATCAAATATATGGAGGACTCGAATCCAGTTTTAAAATCTACTAGCTCGTTCTCGAACCTTACAGTACTTGAATTTAATTAATCAAAAATTTAACTCTCATTAACGTTTAAAAAAATATATCTTATCTCTCAAAATTCTTAAATGTTCTTAAAAAAAAACCTTTTATTTCTCAAAATTTTCAATGTTAAAAAATATATATATATATATGGAGGAATCAACGCAAGCTGGAGGAATGGCAAAGGTGTGGGGGGGGCGGCCGGTGGTGGGATCTGACTGTATTCAGAGGTCTGCGCATGCATAGGGTGTTTTTGTGAAGAAGAAAGATCCAAAGAACTGCAGTATCGGGAAATCCCCAAACATTGAGAGCCGTTGGGTGGGACCCTTCCTCGTGGCACACGGTGATTGATTGATTGACTGACTGACTGACTGACTGACCGGCACCAATCAGGCAGGGCAGGGAAGGGAACCTCCACAACAACAATTATCAACTCTGTACTTGTCGAACCGGCTTTTTAAGCCTAATAATTCGACTCCAAACGTTGAGTGAACTGGTCGAAATTTTGAGTTTTATTATCATCATGAACTTATTTAAAATAGTGAAATGGTTACTCGATCTAATAATTAAATTTTTAATTATTAACAATTAATTCATACTAATTTTTTAATTATTATTTTTATTAAAAAAAACTCCATTAAATGCGATCTGATGGTCGTATATCTCATTTAAGGGGTAAAATGTTCATTCGATCTGAAAATTAAATTTTTAATTACTAACAACTAATTCATATTAACTTTTTAACTATTATTATAGTAAAAAAAAAAAAACTCTGTACTTGTCCTCTCCTTTAAATTCCACATTCGCAAATAACCCCTACCCTCACCTTTCTTCAACAAAATTTAATAAACACTACGTGTTGCAATGCCTTTCACAAAAAATTTTTTATGTGTATTTTATCTGAAAATATACCCTCTTTTTTTTTAATGAAATTTTTATATATTTTGATTAATTTTTATTAAAAACTATTTTATAAAATAAATTATATTTTTAATATACAATCTATTTTTAAAAATCTAAATCTCTTATTTTAATTAATATTTATATGCTTTTAAAAAAAATTTTATTTTACTATTTAAATTACATTAAATTATATAAATAAAAACTATTCAATTGAAGGACGGTCTTTAATATCAAAAAATCATATCTTTTTTCAATGATTAATAAAATATAATTTAAATTATATTATATATTTTTTATTTTATAAGAACCTAATATCTTGTAATTTAAACATATTACAAGAATTTTTAAATAGACAAAATCTTTAATATTAAAAATGTATATTTTATTTAAAAATATTTTATTACGTAGTTCAACACAAACTAAATGCATAATAAATTTTTATTTTTAAAATTAAAAAAAATTATAAATACAATATATATTTGACAGAAACAATAATTAAAAGTTAAAAATTAAAAATTAGATTAATACCTTACTCTTGGTAAGATTAAAAATGTAATTCATTGACAATTTTGTTGAACTGCAGTGACTACCAATATACCACAAATGAAAAATGAAAATACAATATATTTAAATCTTACAACTCAACGACTACAAATTAAATTAGAAGGTGCGTCCAACTGAAGAGCTGAATTGACATTCCCCTACCTCTAAATGTAAACCCATAATTAAAAAAATAAATTAAAAAAACCTATAAATACAATACATTACAATTCAGAACACATGAAACAGTGAGGTAGACAAAATAAATACAGAGTATCGAGTCAATATTCCCACCGTCCATTTTCACATGCACGTCCCTGATTGCATGCTACGTCTACGCCACATCATCTTCACCTTTACCTATTTTTACTTCTTTAAGGTTTCTGAATTCCAACTCACTTCAGTTTCCATCCCTCAAAATTTCTTTCTTTCTCTTTTTTGTTTTTTTTTCTCTGTTCTTCAACATTCCCCCATTTTCCTGACACCTGCCCACTTCTCTACTTTTTTGAATCTTGGACTGCAGCAGAAGAAGTAGAAGAAGAAGAAGAAGAATCTTTACTTTCTTTTCTTTGATGAATTCAAGACCAAAAAGGAAAAGATGGGTACTCAATTTTCTTTCCTTTTGAATCACATTTGAACTCCCCACAATCTTTGAAATCTTGAATTTTTCCCTCTCCGAACTGGAGTAGTTTGTCCGGAGAATCTTCATTCCTTTTGAGTTCATCGAGATCCGTTTGTGTTCTTTACTGCATAATGCCAAAAAGGGTGGCTAATTCTTAGCTCCTGACGAGATACTATATCCTTTCCTTTCTCTGCAAACAATCCGGGAAAATCTTGTAATTTTCAATTTTCTAGGGGGGTGAAAAATAGACAATGTCATGGCAGAATCAAACCTTAGAGGGAAAGAGCAGGAGGGTATGTAAGATTCGAAAGCGGGGCTGCTCGTCATCCTCTTCGTCGTCTTTGGCTCATAAATACAGATTCAAGCGCGCAATTTTGGTGAGGAAGAGGGCAGGGTCGACCACGCCGGTTCCCACATGGAAAACCGGTACTAAATCGCCGTCCGTAGCAATGCCGGGAGCTGAATTATCGAAGGTTTCGCCAAACAAAACTAAGGAAGTTTCAGTTTCTGCGAGAAAGCTCGCTGCCACTCTGTGGGAGATCAACAAAATCTCGTCGCCGCCGGCCCCGGAAGAGTCCGAGGCAGCAATAGACAAGACAGATACGAGGAGCAAGGTGAGGGTTGCCGGAATTTCTCATACTTTGCCGCCAAATTTGTCCGATCCATCACACAGTCCAATTTCAGAGGTGGGAATTCTCTTTTTGTTTTTAAATTTCTCACAATCTCAGAGCTTCATTAATTGTTTGCTTTATTTTCATGCTAAAAATTTGCAGAAAATGGATCGATCTAGAGGAAATGGTCACAAGAGAAGAACTTCAGTGGTTTCCCAGAAGCTTCAAGTTGCTGATTATAAGTTGGGAGGCTTGGACTCCATTAGCAATGCCAGTGTTGAGGTAACAATACTGTACACTTTTCCTTTCCATCATTTCGGTGTTGTCTCATTTGGTGCGTATAAATTAGCTGAAATGAAGAGAGAGAATAAGATATAATGCTGCGAAATGTGCAGATTGAAACTCTATCTAGAGGCAAAACTCATGTTGGATGTGTAATCGGAACCAAAATCCGGCTGAAGGATGTAAGTAACGGACTAGCCACATCTAAAGAACTATTGAAAGTTTTGAATCGTATGTGGGGGCTGGAAGAGCAACCTGCATCAGCTGTCTCCCTTGTTTCTGCCTTGCGTATTGAGATTGACAGAGCTAGGATCCAAGTTGATCAGTTGATCCGGGAGCAACGTTCTAATCGCGGAGAAATCGAGTACCTGATGAAGCATTTTGCAGAAGAAAAGGCAGCCTGGAAGAAGAAGGAGCGAGAGAGAATTCGTGGTGCTATTGCTTGCATTGCGGAAGAGTTAGAGGTGGAGAAGAAACTTAGGAGGCAAACGGAGAGATTGAACAAGAAGCTTGGGAAAGAATTGGCTGATGCAAAGGCAGCCCTGTCCAAGGCAATGAAGGAACTTGAAAGTGAGAAGAGGGCAAAAGATATATTGGAACAAGTGTGTGATGAATTAGCTAAAGGCATCGGGGAAGATAGAGCTGAGGTGGAAGAATTGAAAAGAGAATCGGAGAAGGTGAAGGAAGAGGTAGAGAAGGAAAGGGAAATGCTTCAGTTTGCTGATGTATTGCGCGAGGAGAGAGTCCACATGAAGCTTTCTGAGGCTAAATATCATTTTGAGGAGAAAAATGAAGTTATTGAAAAGTTGAAAAATGAACTTGAGGCCTACCTGAGGACCAAAGGGGAGAAAGAAAGTGCCAGTGGTTCTCCAAATTTGCAGAGGATCAAGGAGCTCGAGGCTTATCTAAAGGAAATTGATTTTGGATCCTGTCGAACCGTAGAGAGGGAAGATGGCAGGGCAGGAGTAGTAGATGGAGGAGAGTGTGACAATGGACAATATCGGATTTCAGTTGACTCAGCTGACAGTGATCTTCACTCAATTGAATTGAATATGGACAATAATAACATGAGCTACAAATGGAGCTATGCTTGTCCAAAGGATGTTCGAGGTGATACAAAGAAGGTTTCAGTTGATAAAGAAAGCAAGGGAAGAAAATCTCTTTCTGAGAGAATTCCATGGGGAAGCATTTGCTTTGAAAGAGGAATTTCAACCTCTACCAATTGGGACTCCCGTCCTAAAAGTCGGGAAAAGTCTGATGGATTGGAGAAGGAAAGGTCATCTGATGTTGCTTCACAGGATCAGATGCAGGATGAAGATGAAATCAGGAGATACAAGTCTGTTAAGAGCCTTAGAGATCACATATTGTCTAGCAACAAGATAACACCTGTGCAAAGTTTTTCCAGTCCCAGCCGGACATGGGGTGAGACCTTGCCTTTTCAGGACTCTGGTAGCATGAGCCCACCAATACTGAAGGTAGATGGTATGAAGCAAAAGCAAACAGGAACAAGAGATGAACGTTGAACTTCAACAGGTTCAAGAGAATAAATATTATTTCTAATTATTTCCTTCCCTTTCCTAACTTATGTTCTGCAATATTTCCTTGAAGATATTCTAAATTTTGTTTCAATTATCCTGATAAAATTGCCAAGCTCTGGAAAGATAGACTGTACATAGAATGTTACACAAGGCTGTATTCATGTTGAATATTATGCTCTGAGCACTTTAGTTTTGGCAGTATGTTTTTCTTCATTTCTTATGTTTTGAGCATTTTTTTCAGTAGTTAAAGAAACAGCACAGAGATCAAACAATTAACAGCATATTGCTTGTAAAACAAAGGACTGAGAAGACTGTTCTAATTGTAAAACAAAACAGGATAGAGACAATGAGACAAAACAAGTTCAGTGCAATGAATTGATCAGCTTATCTTTACATAAGAAGATGCATACATAAATGTCATAATGTCATGTTTTTTAGCCCAAGTTCTTTGAACGTTGATCTTGACCAGCAGTCACCTAATGGGTTCAGTCTAGATTTTGTAATTCAATCTTCAATGATTATCTAATATAATAACTAGTGTCTATTGTACTTAGTGTGGATTAGGAAAACGTCATTCATGTGATTTTATTCTAACAATCTGCACAGCATGAATTATTGCAGGAACTTCAATTCTCATAAAACTCCAAACCTGTCACATGGCTTGTTATCATATGTTCTATTTTATGCAAATGAACGTCAGTGTCCCACACAACAAAATCTCCATCATTTGAGCAAGAATTAAGAAGCAGCACATTAATTAATGTTTTTCTATAAAGAAAACTGGATGAAGCAAATATTACGCAAGTTCTGCGTCGCAAGATGCTGAGTTTCATAATAAATTTAGAAAATTTTAACTACTGCTACTCACAAAGAAGCAAAGCCAGACGATAGGCTGTCAAATTAACCCAGAAGCAAACGATATGACACATGTAACTGTAACAGAAGTACGTTCATGTACATGACAGAAGGATATCAATGAAAATTTAACCTAAAACACATCTTGTGATGCAACACACATCAAAATAACTTCCATTAGTTTACAACAGGTTGTGCTAAGAAGGCGTTAAGAACTTAAGAGCATGTCTAGCATGAGTTGCATCCACCTATTTATTTATGTGGAGAACAGCAGATTGTTATTATTTGTTTTCTCAAATGAATCTAGGTGCTGGAGGACAGTTATTTTTGAGATCCTTCAGCTTTCCCAGATGCTGATGTAAAAGTAACTGGGTTTGTTGGGTCGTCCTTCACCACCAAGCTTAGCACTTCTGGCCTTGAGTAATGGCCAACCACATCAAAGTCAAATTTTGCCCGTGCTATTTCTCCAAGATCTGTGAGCCATTTGATCATTATCAGAATTGGGTTATTGGTAAACAAAATTATGGTAACTACAGTTCAAGATTTAGAGTTCTAACATTGAAAAAGAAACCATACATGCAAACAACAGACAAACATTCAAAGAGAGAAGTTTTGAGTTCTTAAACTCCAGTGTTTGGTTTGGACTTTGGAAGCAACTACAACTGGAGGCATAAATTCTAAGTCCTGGATTTATGTCCTAGATTAGCTGATTTTAGAGGATCTAAA